TGCAGAATTTGTTAAAGAATTTTTAGAATTCAATAAAAAGAAGACAACCTGATAAACATTTAGGCAAAGTTTTGAACAGATGCTTTCCCAAAGAAGATATGTAAAAATGACAAATACATGAAAAAATGGCCACCTTAATTATTGAGAAATTAAAACTACAGTAAGATATCATGACACAACACTAGAATAACTAAAATTTAAAAGCCTAATATCAAGTGTTTGTGCATATACGAAATAACTAGGACCAAAATCTAAGTATCTTTCTCTGTCTCTCTCTTCCTTTCCTTACATATTATGTGTATTAATGCATATATATATATATATGGATTCTATATAAATATTTGCTTTTGAATGAATTAATGATTTATTAATAGTAATCAAAAATTACAAACAACCCAACTGTCTACCAACTGATGAATAGATAAATAAGCCATGTGCATTCAGTAGTATGCTCTAACAATAAAAAGGAACAAACCATTGTCACACATAATGACAAAGATCAATCTCAGGAGTGTTAAGCTACATGAAAAAAGACTGTATGCTGTACAATTCCATTTATATAAAACTCTAGAAGAGACAAGACTATTGTGGCAGAAAACAAATCAATATTTGCCAATGGCCAAAGGCAGTGAAAATTATACTTCAATAAATATAATTTTAAATAACATGAATAATAAGTATAAAAATACTAGAAATAAATTTTTTAAAAAGAATAAGACATTTGTAAATTGAAGAAAGTAGTAAAATGTTTTCAAAACATCAAAGATAATCTCAAAATATTAATAACTATACTTTATTTATGGATTGGAAGCCTCAATACTTTTAAATGCCAATTGTATCCAAAGTGATTTATAGATTCAATACAATTGTAGTCAGAATCTTAATAATTTCTTTCTGTAACTTAACAAAATGATTTTAAAATTTGTATGGAAGTACAAAAATTAAAATAACCAAGACACAATGTTTAAAAACAACAAATCAGACATTTCCTATATTCGCTATAAATTAATGCAATGTATTGGCCAAGAATCCAAAATTACCTTAAGAGAACAATGTAGAGAGCCCAAAAATAGACCCACAAGCACATTTGATGGATGACAAAAGTGTATTGCAGGGCTGAGGGAAGGAATGATGAGCTTTTCAATGAATGGTGTAGGGACAATTGTTTCATCCTCTGAAAAGATTAAATTGAGTTCTCACTTTACATTGCCAAAAAAACTAAATTCCAAATTGGGAACACCTCACAAAATTCATGGTAAAGCTACAATTTTTTGAGACAATATGGTAGCATTTTCTACCTCAGAGTAGAAAACAATTTCTTTTTTCTTTTTCTTTTCTTTTTCTTTCTTTTTTTTTTTTTTTTGAAGCTATTAAAAAGAAATGACTTTATTTGGGAATTCTCATGAAGTAATATTAGAATCATAAAGAATGAATCTGTCAAAAACCTCCTTACACTGATAAAGGCCTTTGGCAAAGTCTCAGGGTATAAAATAAATGTGCAAAAGACAATCGCATTTCTTTACACCAATAATAAACAAACAGAAACCCAAATAAAAGCACAATTCCATTCACAATAGTCATAAAAAAATGAAATACCTTGACATCTTCCTAACCAGAGATGTGAAAGACCTTTACAATGAAAACTACAAAACTCTGCTCAAAGAAATCAAAGATGACACAAACAAGTGGGAAAATATCCCATGCTCATGGGTTGGAAGAATCAACATTGTGAAGATGTCCATCTTACCTAAGGCAATCTACAAATTCAATGCGATACCCATCAAATTACCAGCAAATTCTCAGACCTAGAAAAAACAACACAGGAATTCATATGGAAACACAAACGACCAAGAATAGCCAGAACAACCCTCAGCAAAAAAAACAAAGCAGGTGATATCACATTACCAGACTTTAAACTTTACTATAAAGCTACAATCATCAAAACAGCTTGGTACTGGTATAAGAACAGGCGTATAGAGCAATGGAATAGAATTGAGATTCCAGAAGTGAAACCTCAATTTCTCAACCAGCTCATCTTCGACAAGGCCTCCACCACCTACCACTGGGGAGAGGAGAACCTATTCAGTAAATAGTGCTGGAAAAACTGGCTGACCACATGCAGAAGATTGAAACAGGATCCCTATCTATCCCCATACACAAAAATTAACTTCAAATGGATCAGAGACCTAAATGTAAAACCTCAAACCATAAGAACCTTAGAAAATGAAGGTCATACCCTTGTGGAAGTTGGAACTGGCATCCAATTCCTGAGCAAAACCTGAAATCCACAGGCCATAAGAGATAAGATAGACAAGTGGGACCTCATTAAACTGACAAGCTTCTGCAAAGCCAAAGAAACCATCAAGAGAGCAGGGAGACAGCCTACAGACTAGGAAAAAGTAGTTGCCAACTCCAGGTCTGACAAAGGCTTACCATCTTGGATCTACAAGGAACTCAAACATGCTGAAAAGAAAAAACAAACCCCATTATAAAATGGGCAAAAGATATGAACAGACACTTCTCAAAGGAAGACATCCAAGCAGCCAGCAGACACATGAAGAAATGTTCAACCTCACTAATCATCAGGGAGACGCAAATCAAAACCACACTGAGATACCACCTAACTCCAGTCAGAATGGCAATTATCAACAACTCAAAAAATAACAGCTGCTGGAGAGGGTGTGACGAAAAGGGAACACTTCTACACTGTTGGTAGGAGTGTAAACTAGTGCAACCTCTGTGGAAAGCAGTGTGGCGATTCCTAAAATCTCTAAATATCAACCTCCCATATGACCCCGCAATCCCCCTACTGGGAATATACCCTGAAGAACTCAAATGACTCTATCAAAAAGAGACCTGCACACAAATGTTTATCACAGCATTGTTCACAATAGCAAGAACCTGGAACCAACCAAGCTGTCCATCAAAAGAGGACTGGATTTTAAAAATGTGGTACATATACACAATGGAATACTATGCAACCATAAAAAAGAATAAAATCATGAATTTCGCTGCCACCTGGATGGAACTAGAGTCAATAATACTGAGTGATGTCTCACAGAAACAAAGATCTGAGTATCACATGTTCTCACTCTTATAGTGGACCTTGAACATCCACCGTAATACTATAAAAAAAAAAGACTGACAGTGGTGGGAAACTATGGGGGAGGGAGGGGAAGGGAGGTGGGATTAACAGTAGTCAATATCTGTCTGGGAACGAGGAGACACCCCTTATCAATAAGGGTGCCTGAACAAAGCATATTTGTATACCTAACCCTAAACTGTACCTCACAATATCAAAATTAAACATATTTATTTTTAAAAGAATACAAATTGTATATACAACATGATTTTAAATTTTCTTTTTCTTTTTTTTCAGTGAACCAACAATATTAAATGAGGTTTCTTAATTATCCAAAACAAAAACTAAAATTAAAAAACTGAAAAATTTAGCTTAACTAAAAATTAAATCATGGTTATCAAAAGACATCAAAAAAGTGAAAAGATAGGTCACAAGCAGAGTAATGAAGTATATATGGAACAAACTGAATAATTAGGTTTGTAAAACTTTAAATCAACAAAGAATCCAAAAAATATATAATATATTTACATATACCTATATATACATACTAATATAGAATATAAATATATAAGTATATATATTTAACACTTCTAAGACTCAATAAGAAAAAGACAATCAGCCTCCAAACAGCAAAAGAAATGAACAGATATTTCACAGAAGAGAAAGCTCAAATGATTTTATACACAAGAGGTCCTAAAATACATGAGAATATGTTCGATCTCACTAATAATCAGAAAAGTGCAACTTTAAAACATTATGAGAAATCATTTTACACCAGTAAGGGAGGAAACCTTTTAAAAGTCAGACAACAGCATATGTGGCAAGCTGCTTAGCAATGGGAACTCTTATTCATTGCTGGTAGAAGCAGAACTCTGTTCATTCACTTCAGAAAATAGTTTGGCTTTCCCTATAAACTTCATCATGTACATGGACCACAACCCAGCAAATTCATTAGTGTGTCTAGGATCTAGATAAATTGCTGCACTCTAGGCAAATTCTTGCACATGTTAGCCAGGGATATGTACAATAGTGTTTATAGAAATTCTGTTCATAATAGAAAAAACTGGAAATAGCTCGAATATCCATCAACATTAGAAAGAGTAAGCAAATTGTGTCAAAGTCTTATAGTGGAATACTGTAATGCAATAAAAATGAATGACCTATAACTATATGCAGCAATATGAATGTATTATGCAAAACATGATTTGAGTGAAAGAATAAAGTTACAAGGCAAATATATCATTTAACTGTATTTATATAAAATTCAAACCCTGGCAAAAATAAGTAATGTACCACTTAGAGTCTAGAGACAGGTATAAAACCTCCAAAGAAAGCAAGGAAATGACCAGTATATAATTCAGGGTATTTAATGGTCACTGCTTGGAGAGGAAAGAGTTTCCGTCAGTATGTGGCATATGAAACTCTCTGAAGGACAGTAATGCTCGATCTTGCAAACTTGGTGGTCTGCACCTGGTGTCCATTTTTGCCTGTTCATGTGTGCATGTTCATCTGCATTCAATATTTTCATGTACATTACATTTTTATTTTTATTTTTTTATTTGAGGTCTCTGTCACCCAGGTTGGAGTGTAGTGGTACAATCATGGCTCACCACAACCTCGCCCTGCTGGTCTCCAGCAATCCCCTTGTTTCAGCCTCCCAAAGTGTTGGGATTACAGGCATGAGCCACTGTGTCCAGCCTACTTTTTTAATTTAAAAACTGCAGGTTCTAAGGACCCCAAACTAGATATGTAAATTCAATATCTTAGGATGAATCCAGGAGAACTGAATTGTTATCAAGTGCCCATAGAAATTTTGATCAAAGTAGTCTGAGGACCACCTTTTGAATATCTATATTATTTCCATAGTTTAAACTCTTTACTCTTGTTAATTGGCATTTTCAAAAGAGCTACAACATTATTTTTTTAGATTGAAAAATATGGTTTATTTAGAAAGTAGATTGGCGAGCAAAAGAAAAGGGGGATCCTCTTCCCTCAGATTAAGGAGGAGGCCAAAGCTTACATAGAAGTATGACGCAAGCTACAACATTATTAAAGGAGGCAGTTTATAATAAATAAACACACAACCTTCCAATTCCAGAAACTACACCTTTACTATACAAAAAAACCTAAATATTTACAAAAGAAAATCAAAAGAAGTTGCATTTCTAGATAACATTGAGAAAGTGACACAAGTCTGATGAACAAACAACATCACAAAACGTCTCCATACCATGCCAGTACCATACAGAGAAATCCAGTCAACTATTATACCACAGGGTGAGGTATTTAGTACCTGAAAGTCAACCCAGTGCTCTCCTTGTTTATTATTTGCCTATAAAAATATAAAACGCTTGCATCTTTACAAAACATGAAATTATTGTCAATAAATTTTATAGAAAATAAATTGTGTAAAAGGAAATACAATATCAGAAAAATGACAAAAGAGAGCTGTCCATCAATGTTAAAGTTAAATTTTCCTAAATGCATTAAATTATACATTCAGTCCAAGCAACACTGTTTATTTTAACAATCTGATTGTAGAGTATTGCTCTTTCAAGCAGTCTTGCTGTGGCATCATCTTATTGTACAAATGTACAGATTATGTTCCCGTATTTACACATCAAGAAAGGCTTCCAGTCACCTTGTCTCAATGGCAGTGACTCAGTACATAGGTGGCCATTTCTTTCTATGGTCAACCCAACTGGGGGAGTCTCAGCTCTCGGCTCATTGCTTTTCTCATGGAATGATGAGCAGTATTAAGGATCTGGACTCATGCATAGTGTCTCTGGTTGAAGACATCAAGGCTTGGCTACACTTTTGACTTCTGTGCATCTACCAGACTGTATGACCCTTTCATGTTGGCCTTTCTTGCAAAGTAAATGATCATTCCGATGGCAGGTATGATTAAGGAGGAGGTACAGTAGAGCATGAGAAGTTCGGGAGAAAAATAGTCCTTGTTATTTTCTCTTCCTGGAAAATAACAAAATGGATGATGCAATTAGTGTCTAGTACAAAAAGAAATCATTTAATACTAATAGTTATGATACATGCTTTAATCTAACAGTACAATTAGTTCTCTTACAAAAGTGAGTCAAGCAGTGTTGAGAGTCACCAGGACACAATATACACATTTCTCTGGATTATCCAAATGATTAGTGTTTGCTACAGTCATGATGGATCTAAAGATGATCCATCATGACCGTAGCAATCTATTTGATGGATGCAAATAGATTCAGGTTCAGTTGTAGAACAGAAGGGAGGGTATGACTTTTTAGGGCTCCTTTAACAAGAACAGGAATTGGAACGGGGCTTTGGGAAACAGAAAATGTCGACTAACGAACTGTGAGTCTGATCACCACAAGCTGAAATGACTCACGAGTTCTCCAAGAAAATCCTTACAACATGTAGAGGGTGGCCATTATGGCCAAATATCACAAATAAGATAGCAAGAGAAAAAATTCTTGCCAATGGCTTTTTCAGAAAGATTCAGAAAATCGTATGCTTTGTGTGTCTGAAACAGGGCATCTTAATAAGCTATTCTTTTTTTAGCCTTTGTATTACCTTTTGATAAACTGAATTTTTGATAGTACTATGTTTCAGCTTAATGTTACTCAGAGAGGCATTATCTGATCCACACGCTCCCTGTCTAAATTAAGCACCTCAGCATACCCTCAAAACTTACTACACTTTTTCTTCATGGCCCTTATCACAGTTTGTCATTAAACATTTGTTCATGTGATTATCAAATGTGGTTGTCTCCTCCAACTGTATACTACATAAACACTTGTATGTCTATTTCTTTTGGGTCTTTCATTGGTTAGCCAGCATCTGACTTACTGTTTGGTAATCATCCTCTCAATATTTTTTGAACACAAATGTATTTTTTCCTTTCTACACTGTGTCATTTTGCCATTTAGCTATAAATGGAGTGCAGACGGTAACCATGTAAAGAACTTTAAAATCAGTACTCTAATATGATTTTTTAAAAATAATGTGACAGCTGCAATGCCATTTAACATCTTAACCTTATAAAAACATCTGAAGATGATAGTAAGCCATTTACTGGAGACTTGCTTCTGTTATGCTTTGCACAGCTTTGTGTGACCTCACAAGTATTAAGTTTCACTAAGTGGTATATATGTTGCCTCCATTCTGGCAGAAATAAGTGATCTGAATTTGATGGTGACCACATTCCTTCCAGAGTTCTCTAATCACTGGAGATCAAACAAGTAAAAAAAAAATCAGTCTTACCAGATGATGTGAAGTCATTTTTTCCTCAAATTACTGAAGAAATAACACTTCACCCTAAGCATAATGCTAATTGCCTCATATATCTACTTTCCCTAGCTAGAGTTAAGTCAAAGTATAAGGGTAATAGTTGAATGGGATGTATGTCATCATAATTATGGTCAGTATTAATAACATGGTGAGCAATGGTATTTTCATTTATTTTCCAAAAAATTATTTTTATATTTTTAGAGACAGGGTCTTTCTCTGTTGCCCAGGCTGGCATACAGTGGCATAATCATAGCTCGCTGCAACCTCAAACTCCTGGGCTTGAGTGATTCTCTTGTTTTGGCCTCCCAAAGTGCTAGGATTACAGGCGTGATTTCTATTACAGGCCAGTATTTCTATTCCTATTGTTTTCTTTTAAATTTAATACATATTATCTTTTTCCTTTCAATTTTCCCTTCAGACACCTTCAACAAAACACAAATTTGCTGCTGAGTCATTGCCAGGGCAACCTTCCAATACAATTTTCTACTAGTTGTACAAACACTGAATATCTTAAACACTCCTGACCATTTCTGTCAATGGAATGCATTCAAGCCAAACAAAACAAAACAAACAAACCCAGCCAAATACAAAGGAAACCTAATTCAAAATACCCAGGAAAATGTCAACATTTTGTATCTCCATTCATATCTAGATATTTAAAACTATCTTCAGTTTGAGGCCATGAATTTCAAACTGAGTGCTTAATAATCTTTGTTCATTTAAATAAAGAGTAAAAAGTGGCAACTATTTATATGGCTAAAAAAACAAATAGAAAAGACAATAATGTGTGAGAAAGCGTTTTTTAAAAAGTGGAGAAGCAGCTTTGATGTGTCTTTAAAAGAGAACAATTAGTTACAAACAATTACAGAAACGTTAGAAGACCAATTTCCTGGGCTAGGCTTGATGAATGGTGGCCCCAAATAATTAAAGAACATAAGAATGAATAACCTACTCATAACTGAGAGCTCAATTCTTCCAGAATCATCCCCAACCTCATTAGAAGCACTGATTACATACACCCCTGTATCATTTTGAGTGACGTGATACAGAGTGAATGTTCCATCCTTTGAACACATAGTGACTTCCTTGGCCAGATCGACTCTTTTCAGGATAATCATTGCAGGTGGATGACTAAACATTTTGCATGTAATTGTGACATTTTCCCCTTCTTTAACGTTTCTAGATGGATGTACTGATATTACCATGTTTCGAGGCGGTACTGTGAAGACAGAAAACATATGGTAATTCTTGCAATTTGAGAAGCTTGGCCAGATGAGTAGAATTTGTACCTGGTTTCTGAGCTAGGTTTGACTATCCTCTACATTGTCCAGTGGATGCTAACTCTGGCAACCAAGTGCCAGACCTCTTAAGACATGGCATTTGTTTGCAATCCTGTTTGCAATCCAGCACCAAGTATGGCTTCCAAAACATAGTAGCAGCTCATTAGCATGCAAGAAGTGTGAGACTGATTAGCTGAGGCGGACTATCCTGCTTACACCAGTGAGATCAACAGATTCCACAGACTGTGCATTCACAAGAGGGGTGAAGTGATTAAGGGGCCCTGAGGCTTCTCCAGTGAGGATGCTGCCCCTCCTTCTCTCTCCATCAGAATAGAGGAAGCTGGCAACAGGCTTGGAATTTTAATGAGGCTTTTCCATAGTGTAGAGATTTTTAAAATTTTGTTCAGGATCAAGATTGCTACTCCCAATCATTACCCTGAAAAGAGTCAATTCAGAAAACACATAGTTACTCTATTTTTAGAAAACAGAGTTCCCTTCTGGTGGCAAAGAAGAGAGTCTGGATAGGACTCTTCTTTTCCTGTGTGCCAATTCTATATCTTTAGTTTCCTTACAAGCTCCCAGGGAAAGGTTTTGAAAATATAATTAAACACTTAACAAATGCAAGCCTTCCGAGATGACTGATGAATTTTAAACTCTGAAGAAAGCAAATGGGAATTCCGCATTCACCAGTGATGAATGTCCACTTCCTGGCTAAACGCTACAAGACAGAGCAGCTGTGCTTGATCATTTCAAGAAACCTTAAGAAATAACCACAATCAACGTGAAATCCAGCTCCATGTTGCCAACTCAGTCATTGGATACTAAAAATTCTTCATAATCCATGGAACCTCTAAATTATTATAAAATAAAATTTTTTTTAAAAAAACTAACCTTTGACATCAAGTGTTAAACTCCTTAATTGTGAGCCAGACTTGCTTTTAGATTCACATTCGTACACTCCCGCATCCTCTAGCTGAGCCTTGCGGATGGTGTACATGCCATCGATGGACTTGAGCACTGTGTCTCCCGTCTCTGCCTTTTTCTTCAGGATTATCCATGTTTCTGGAACATTTCCACAGGTACAGGAGATAATGACAGTTTCCCCTTCCTTGACACTCTCAGAAGGAAAAGCTGTAAGCTGAATGTCTTTTGGAACAACTGTAAGGAGAATTTAAAAGGTACCTCAAATGGAGTGACATATAAACCGAATCCATGTTAGCTTAATGACATCAACACTAGCTGCCACGAAGCTGTGTGTGCTACCTGTCTGCTAGCCACATTAAGGAGGGCAAGTGAAGAAGCCAGGCATCACTGGGTCATTGGAATTTGCCATGTGTGAAACACTAGATGACGTGTCTCGTGCTTCTCTCAAGTCCCTGAATATAACTCTCTATCCAGTCCTGCACAAAGAATAGGTGTTTACTAAATAGTGGTAGAATTCAAATGTTTTGAAAAAGAAAACTAATTTTTTTGTCACACTATTTTTGCAAGATTTTCCTTGAAGTACAAAGGCCTTTTCAGGCTTCTGAGTTTTGAGCTGGATTCTATGAGATCAAGAACTTAAGCTATGTAAGATGGCCTTCTCACTATTCTCCACAGCATTACTGCCATTTATCCAGTTCCAGGCACTGCACTAAGTGATGTCTCCATCAATGCGACAACCCATGGGGGAGGTACCACATCACCAATTCTTGATTCCTGTTAAGGTCATCTATTGTGTGACTCGATTTGACATTCTTTCCCCACCCAGAGCCAAGGCGTCTATCCTAAAGGTTTTTTATTAAGGTTGTGCGCTGCCCTCCCAAGATTACACCCTTGAAATACAAATCCCACTGAGATGAGATAGCAAGAGAGTCACTACTATCTTAATGGGAATAACACCAGAGGCAGGAAAGGAAATGAACCAAGAGCGCTGGTGAGGAAAAGAACCCCAATGTCTACAAGGGAAGAACTAGGGCAAACCCAGTCACCTCATAACTTTGCTCAAAACAGCCTAAGGCTTCAACCTGCCAACTAGGAAGGGTCTGCTTCTCAGTCTTGGAACTCCATCCTGGAGAGAGGGGACCTAGGTCTGACTTAATCCACTATGGTGGTCCCATGCCATCAGACTGATGAACTGGAGGGCACAATCCCCACAATCCCTAATCTCAGAATTTGCAAATGGTTTAAGTGCCATCTTAGGCTTCTAAGCAAATAAGCATTTTGTGAGATTGTCAACTGAGCTAGATAGAGTGGCTTTAGTCCTGAATAACTTCCAAATACAGACATATCTCTTCCTATTCCTATTTCAACACCGTGATTATTGCCTCACAAGTGTATCTGGAACTTCTAGTACAGTTCCTGAAGCTAATATTTTATTGAGGTTAAAAGGATTTTAGAATAAGGAATTTGTCATGCTTCAGGAGAAAGGACCATTTCAGGAGCTTTTTCCATGTGTAGGAAACATCATGAATTCTTCAAAACCCAATATACCTTTGTCATAAAAAGTTTGTTTTCGTAAAAGACTTTGCTTATAACCAACAACACAGTCAAAAATATATATATATATATATTAGCAATGTGATAACTCATTAATCATACTTTGCTTACCTTGAATAATTAATTCTACTTCTTTTCTGCTTACTCCAGCCTGGTTGATTCCTTCACACACATAAGTACCAGAATCCTCCATTTTTGTAGACACAAAGGTGAGAGTTGCATTCTCAGAAAGAGGCTGTTGGACTCCATTTTTCAGCTGCTTGCTCCACAGGATTTTTGGAGCAGGAAGACCATTGCTAGAGCAAGTCATATTCACAGAACTGCCTTCCTCTAGGATGGAAGATGGGCTGACCAAGACAGTTGTATCTCTGGGAGCAACTAAAAAGGCAGACACATTTGTTAGTGTGAACCTTATACCCTGGGTTCTGAAGAGTTTTAAGAATGTTGTAAAAATGAACTGTGGATTCAGCAGATTAGAACAGTTCATAAACTTTGATAACTACCACAGGAAATACCCTATGGACCTTAGCAGATACAGAATGATAGCCTAGAACACGAACATATCATGGATGCTTTCTAATGGAAGTAAGTTCTGGAGAAAGACTCTTGCTACCAAATGATGATGGGCAGTGACATTATGTATTGCCACATTGGTAGCTTAAACATGACCATGGATTATTTGAATCTTCTACTGGGAAAAGATATGATCTATTTCCACTCCTTGAATCTGGGCTGCCCTTGTGAATCGCTTTGACCAATGGAACATGGAAGAAGTAACACCATCAGACTTCCAACTCCAGGCCTTTATGAGGCTGCTTTTGTTTATACTTTCTTGAAACACTGTACTCTGGTGACTGAAGGCCACCATCCTTGAGGATGACATTACATGAAGAAAGACAGGTCAAGTCATCCCATACATGGCTTCACACATGTGAGTTAAGTCCCCTGAGACCAGTCAGTCCTGTGACCTTACTGAAAATGCACGAGTGAGCTTGGCCAATACCATATGGAGCAGAACAACCACCCAGTTTGCCCACACACACACACACACACACTCCCAGATCACCAACTCTCAGATCCATAAGCCAATACCTGGTTCTTATTTTAAGTTTGGGGAGAGTGATTTATCATAATCATCCTTATTTCTAAATGTCAGTTATTCCTTTTATCCACAGAGATGTTTAACTACCAACCTTGTGTTAACTCTTGCCTTGCAAACACAATAAAGAAACCCATATTAAGGAGTGGATACATCACATATATACTCACCATTGACATAAAGTGTCTGTGTACTCTGCCTTTGTTTGGGTTCAAAATCCATTTCATCAATCTGTAATCTAGCCTGACAAACAAGAACATTTCCGGTATCTTCAGTGGTAGGGATGAAGGTCATTTCCAAGCTTTCGATCTCTAGGTATTTCTTATCCACACCCTCCAAAAAGTCTTTTTTCTTCAGAACAGTCTCCCCCTTGAGTAACTCAATCTCCAACCGGTCCAGAGGGTATACATGAGGGACCTTGCAGCTCACAGTGATGGGGTTCCCATCCACCAGTGGGCCACTCAGCTCGATTTCTGGATCTCTAGGGAATGCTGCAAATGTCAAGCAAAAATGATATTTACATGTAATGTTTAAGGAAAAACTGAGCTCAACTCTATTAAATGCAAAGATCTCAAAATGACAGCTTTAAAGTACCTGGGTGGAATGCGCACCAGTATATACATAATGACATTATGAATGTAAACACAGTTATGACATTAAATATAAATAATATTGGAAACAAAAATACTTTGTACATCAAGTAATCACATAATACATATTTTTTGCTTGTTATTTTTCTCGTGTGTGTGTGTGTGTGTATGTGTGTGTGTGTGTGTGTGTGTGTGTGTATGTGACAGGGTTTTACTTTGAAACCCGAGCTGGAGTGCACAACCTTGACCTACTGGCTCAGGTGATCCTTGGAGTAGTTGGGACTACACCTGGTTAACTTTTGTAATTTTTGTAGAGACAAGGTCTCACTATGTTGCCCATGCTGGTCTGGAACTCCTGGGCTCAAGCGATCCTCCTGTCTCAGTCTCCCAACATGCTGGGATTCCAGGCATGAGCCACCATGCCTGGCTTATTTTTCTCTTCTTAATGATACAATCTTGTTGCTACCATGGCCTGATCTTTTCTAGGTACACATCAGTTTCCACCATCTTATTTTGTAACTACATACTTTATTTATTTTTTTTTTTTATTTTTTTTTTTTGAGTTGGAGTCTCACTCTGTCACCCAGACTGGAGTGCAGTGGCCACTCCCGGCCACCGCAGCCTCGACCTGCTGGGCTCCAGTGATCCTTCCGCCTCAGCCTTCCAAGTAGCTGGAATGACAGGCATGCGCTACCACGCCCGGCTGATTTTTTGATTTATTGTAGAGATGAGATCTCGCTGCCCAGGCGGGTCTCGAACCCGTGGGCTCAGGCAATCCACTCACCTCAGCCTCCCAAAGGCACGGGATTACAGGCTGAGCCACCGAGCCCGGCTAACTACATACTTTAAATGTTTTAAATATTTGCCATGTGGTACTGAATACTTAAGAGTAAACCAGTTCCTTAAACTTCATGTTCTCAATCTTCAAAGCAGTTGAGGGAAACTGTTGGGGGGGGGCACACCTCATCAACAAGAGTACCTGTATAATCAACATTTTTATACCTAACCCTGATTTGTACTCCACATCTTAAAACAAAACAAAACAAAAACCAAAAAAAGAGCAGCTGGGTGAAATGGGTGTTGTTTAACTTAATTTACAGCTAGGAAAACTGAAATGTCTAGAGGCTGAGGCCTTCTTCATAGATTGTACCTCGCAAGACACCGAGCTGAGCTCTGAATCCAGGTTTCTCTGCCCTCAGAGCCCAGGCTTGGTGTCTCAGAGCTGTACAGCCCCTTAGAATCAAACAAGACAAACAGCACTTCTCAACTTAGACACCTTAAATTCTAGCGACGAAAATGTAAGCAGCAAGCTTTAACTATTTCTCAGATAATACTTGTAATTAAGAAAGAAACTGTCTTAATTGTGTTATTTAGGACCCAATTTAAGAGATTTAGATTCTAAATAATAACATTTATAGTATCTCCCATGCAAATCAATAAAAATGAGGCTAAAAGAGTTATCAAAGACAAAAGTAATGTGTATTTACTTTTTTCTTAAGCAAAATGCCATTCAAGTGATACATTCTCAAATATTTCCATATTGCAACACAACTTCGCGGCTGGTTCTCATTTCTGCTGGGAATGTGCCTACACAGCAGATCGTGGACCCTGGGTCATATAATAATGCAAATAAAATTTATCCTCCCCTGGAGAGATTCAAATCCCGTTACAGGCCCACTCCAGCTCACTTTGAACAACATTCTGATGGCTAACACAAGTTTGGGCAGGATTTCTGGTGGAAAATCTCTACAATATGTTCTCTTGAGTTCCACTGAATTAAACAAGGCAGAATAACTCCCTAAAAAAAAAACTTTTGTGGCCACTTTGCATATTTCATCCCTCTTTTGTTTTGAACTGAGGAGTTCCAGCAATGTCAAATTCATAGAGTTGAGGTTGTAAAGAATTTCTATTAAAGGTGACAAGAAGTGCAAGAAAAAATGTCACCCAGGTGTACAGTGCAAATCAGCACTAAAGTCTAGTCTGCCTCCTGACTCTGCTTGGCCCCAGTCATGCCCTGCGTCTCCATCTCCAGCTGACTCCATATCGCTACTTTTGACTTTCCCCTGCTTCCTATTGCCTCATTGTCTTCCCATCCTACAGATCAACTTTCCAAATGTGCCTTTAAAACTGTGGGTTCAGCCGGGCTCGGTGGCTCAACCTGTAATCCCGCGCCTTTGGGAGGCTGAGGTGAGTGAATTGCCTGAGCCCGCGGGTTCGAGACCCGCCTGGGCAGCGAGACCTCATCTCTACAATAAATCAAAAAATCAGCCGGGCGTGGTAGTGCACGCCTGTAATTCCAGCTACTCGGAAGACTGAGGCGGAAGGATTGCCGGAGCCCAGCAGGTCGAGTCTGCGGTAGAGCGGCCAGTGCACTCCAGTATGGGCGACAGAGTGAGACTCCAACTCAAAAAAAACAAAAAAAACTGTGGGTTCAGGTCTCTTCCCCTACTGGACAGTTAAGCAGTAGTCGCCCTCACCCAGTCATCTGAGCAGACACTGACTCCCAGCACACCCCCTCACAACCCCCACCACCTCAGGGAGCATTGAGTGTGTTTGAGTGCATGATGAGAAAGTGTGGACAAGACACAAACTAGGGATCATGGGTGCTGGGTACATGTATGATACACACTTGAGATTTAGGCCAATGATGCTGCATGGAACCCTTCTAGTTCAGAGGCTTAAGAGCTATTCACAATGCTCAATTCCCTTTCTAAACATATGGATTTCCTTGCTTATCACGGCCTTGCATTCTTTTTCTTCCAAAGGAATTGAAAAAGTTAAAAGAAAGAAAGAAAGAAAGAAAGAAAGAAAGAAAGAAAGAAAGAAAGAAAGAAAGAAAGAAAGAAAGAAAGAAAGAAAGGAAGAAAGAAAGAAAGAAATCAGTAAACAGTTCTGCAAACCACTCACAGTAGAGCGCCACCTGGATGCCCTTCTCCAGTTTCTTGCGTCCGCAGGTCACAGTGCACAGGTAAGAATGCTCGTTCTCCACGCCCACAGGGCTCAGGGTCAGCGTGGACTCGGTCCCCTCACTCCTCACCTTCCCACTCAGAGGGCTGTCTATCTGGGTTCTCCAGGAGAAAGATGGGGACTCGCAGCCCATGACGCCACATGTCAACACCACGGAGCCGCCGATCTGAGCAGCAATCTGGGGCCCCGGAGAGATCTCGACGCTAAATGGTTTCTCTGAGGGCGGGGAAGAGAGAACAAGGTAGAAAAGAAGGTAAGATTTTTTTCTTCTGTCATCATATTTGTGCTGATCTTTATTCTTTCTGAACTCTTTTCAGCTAATATCTGTGCCGGAAGCAGTTACTTTTCTCATCTGGGGATTATTTAAGAATGCATCCATGATCTGTCGATTCATTCATTTAACTGAAAGAATGTAGATAAAAATGAGCCGAGAGAGGTTGGCAACTTTTCATAGCAATAATCCAGTGTCTGCTCAAATGCAGTTTGTCAAATCACCACGAGAGTGGACAAATAATGTAAGTGACTTTTGTGTGCCAAGCAATTACGTAAATTGCTTTATATATATTATCTCATTTAGTCCTCACAACCATTTCATGAACTGGTCCTATTATTTCTTCTCTGCCTTCTTCTTCTTCTGCTTCTACTCTTTCTCTTTTTCCTTCTCCTCTTTCTCCTTGAGGAAATGTAGGTTCAGAAATTCTAAATAACTTTCCCCTGCCTGCATGTGGCAAAATTAGAATTTGATGCTGGGAGATCTGACTCAAGATCCCAGCTTGCAGTTGTTAGAACAACTAAACCAAGTCATCTTCATATGGAGGCAAAAAAGATACAAAAGAGGTACTGTAGAAAAACTACCAAAAAAAAAGTCTTCTAATTGGATACAATATCCATAATGGACCAACACTTAGGGCTTCTGTTTCAATGATACAATGTTATACCATTGAAAGTCACACAGAATCACATGGCAAGTAAAGCCAAAATCTAAGCATTAAAGTGATACATAGGTAATTTCCAAAATCTGGTTCATGCAATGTGAAAATACTTAACAATTAGTTCAGAAGCAGAAAGCTGAGATCTGAGGTCAAACGCCAAAGTCTCAAATACCCAGGAATGCTCTTTGGCCATCAGTCCTATCTCTACTGGGCAACAGGCTTCTTTTGGATGACCGTTGCCTAGAGAGAAATGGAAGTTCAAATCTTGACTCCATTTCCCTGAAGAAACTGGAAGAGGTTGAGCAACTCACGAAGCAACAGATGAGACTCCAGAAAATCACCAAAATCCTCCTTGTAAATAGCAGACTGGAGATAGAAGAACCAAATCTCAATATATAAATAATCCAAGTATACTGCACTTTGCATGGTTCTCATCTGCGCCAGAAGTTATTTTTCTCAAATTGCTTCATCTAATTTGTGACAGCTTAATATTTTCTAAAGAAGACTCTCCTTGAATTACCTTAATAAACTGACATGCAGCTAGATGTTGAGAGATCATTCACAACAATAACCAGAGTTCCCAAATTCCTTATATGCCAGTGTGAGAAGGAGGAACCTTAAAACAAATCCACTCCCTTCCTGTGAGCATTTCTCAGATCATTCTTTAGTGGGGCTGCATAGATGACCATGTGAACTTGCAGCTTCTGGGGAAGGAACTCCTTTAGGTGTAAGGGAATGAGAAAATGTCGGTAAAAGTTTCAGTTAGACAGGAGGGATACTTTTTTTGAGATCTATTGTATGACATGATGACTAGTTAATAATAATAATAATAATATATTATTATTATATATTTAAAAATAGCTTGAGGCCAGGCACAGTGGCTAAAGTCGGTAATCTCAGTACTTTGAGAGGCTGAGGTGAGGGGATTGCCTGAGCCCATAGGTTTGAGAACAACCTGGGCAACTTGGCAAGACTGCATCTCTACAATAAATCAAAAACTAGCCAGGCATGGTAACGCACACCTGTAGTTCTGGCTACTTGGAAAGCTGAAGTGGAAGGATCGCTTGAGCCCAGCGGGTCGACACTGGGGTGGCTGTGAGCATGCCACTGCACTCCAGCCTGAGTGATGGAATGAGATGCCAACTCAAAAAAAAACCTAAAAAGTTAATTTCAAATTTCTCACCATAAAAAATGTTCAGTGGAGTGAGGGAGATGTTAGTTGATTTAATCCTTCCACACTGTAAACATTACATTGAGCCCTGTAAATGTATACCATCATGTCAATTAAAAATAATATTAATTTTAAAAATAAACAATAAATACAGTCAGTTATAATTGAAAAAGTATAGGATTTTAGATTGAAATGAACCTTATTAAAATCATAGTAAATGCAACTAAAGAGCTATTTGATCCTAGACAAATTGAGAACTATGTTGAGCTGGAGTTTTTTAGTCTGTCTCATGGTGATGAGATAATATATATAAAGTAGAATCCTGGAAAATATTAGATGCGCAATCAACAGGTGGTACCATTATTCATCTTTGAGACTCCATTCTCTCATCTACAAAATGGATATAAAATACTTACTCTTGGGTTATTTCTTGAAGATTACAGATGGTGTATCATCTAAGAGGTTGCTGTGTTATAATAGCATATAAAGTGAACACATAACTGGTGTCCAGTGAATGCTGTTTTTAAGAGCATCTTGCGATCGTTCCAGTGAGACACAATAAACAAATGCAATGGCAAGAGAGTTGAAGAAGAGAACATATTCTAGGGGTCATTTTGAGGGAAAACTAACAGGATTTGGCAGCATGGAATGGAAACCTGAATTTGGGAGTAATCTACATAAAGCGGTTCAATTCTTGGAAGTCTAGCATGAGAAGAAAGAGAACCAGGTATGCTAACCTGGAAATACCAACATCCAAGGGGCAGGAAGAAGAGAGAGGGCCAGGGAATAAGGTAGTGAAGAAATGATACAAGATGGAACAAACCAGAAACGCAGAGCTATGGACACTCTGGGAAGAAAATCCTCCAACAAGTATAAGTAGGACAGGTAGATATTTGTGCTTTCAGACATGGCAATCAGATGGGCCAAAAGTGAAACTCAGGGAAGCAATGCATGCATTGATGCTGTATCACTGTTGCTCAAATCCCAAGAGCAGCACCATTGTCATTGCTTTTTCACATTTTACTCACCTTGAACAATTAATTCCACCTCTTTTCTGTCTTTCCCAATCAGATTAACTCCTTCACACACATAAATTCCAGAATCTTCCATCCTCATAGCAATTAAGGTGAGAGTTGCATTCCCGGAAAGCAGCTGTAGATTCCCATTGTCTAATTTCTTGCTCCAGAAAATCTCTGGAGCTGGCAGACCCTCACTGGAGCACATCATTGTTACAGAGCCACCCTCTTGCAGACGTGTGGAAGGATTCACAGAAATAACTGTATTCTTGGGTGAAACTGAAAAAGCAAGGCACAACCTCAGTGATTGCTAAACATCATCCCAATCCAACAGCAGTGGGGAATATCTCTCACAGACTATATTCACATTCTTCCACAATTTGGTGAGCTTACTCTGCCAAATTAGTATAAAGAACTGCTGAGTCATTAGAAATAGTCAATGTTGTTTCAGACTAAGGTGACTGAGAGTTTTTGTTGTTGTTTTTGATGTTTTGTGTTTTCAGATGGTCATAGATACTGAAATTAAGAAGGACTGTGTAGCTCAATCTCCCACCTGAGGGCAAGGGTCCCATCTAAGAATCCTTGCCAATTGCTCATTCAAGTCAGTTTCAACATGGTCTCATGAAACAGTCCATTTGGATTTTGGACAGCTCTCATTATGAGAACTTTCTCCCCTATTGAAGTCAAATCTTCCTCTTTGTAACTTTGACAAACTTAAACACACTGTTCATAGTTCACCTCTCAGCTGTTACAGATGGAACCAAACCACCCTTAACACAGCTGTCTTTCAAGTACTTAATGAGCGTTCTCTTTCCCAGATTTTGTATTCTCCAGGAAAAATATCCCCTATCTTTACTATTCTTCTCAAAATATCATTAAAAGTCTTTCAACTCATTCTCTCTTGGCTAAATAAGACAATATTCCTTTTAAATGTCATACCCAGAGCAGAGCACAGCAACATAGTCTAGAACAGAGCACAGTGAGCCCACTCATGCAATTCTGGGACAACAAAATGCCCTCAAATCCCCTAGTAGTCTCAGGAAGATGAGAGGCAATCAAACGCAGACACACACACAAATAAGTGCTCATCTTGGCAAGTTTCTACACCTGTGCAACTAGTATTTCAAGGTATAAGAGTTTACAAAAACAAGATTAAAAACATCTTATTATTTGGGCCTTTTTCCTACTACTGTAAGCCCCCTACATACAAACCTTCAAGTTGCCAGTTTTCAAAGATGCAGACGTGTGCTCACATGTCCAGTCACGTAAGTTTGTTCATGGACTGGCATACGTTGTCATGTGTGTGCAACCTCTATGCTTCTGTGTACTTTACTGTATAGTGCTGTTTTTTTAAATGTATCATTTGTGTGAAAAATATCATAAGCCTGTTACAGTACAGTACTATTTAGCTAATTGTGTTAGTTGGACACCTGGGCTGACTTTGTTGGACTTATGAACAAATTGTATTTACAAATGCACTCTCAGAACATAAATTGATTGTATGTAGGGGACTTATTGCACCCAATCAAGTGTTATTATTATCTCCCTTTGACAGGAATTAACTAACCCAAGCTCATACAGTTAATAGAGGCAGAAATTAAGTTCAAGTCTTATCTGAACCCAGTGTTCTTTTCATTAAACTATGTTATTGGCAAATGTTCTCAAGGAATAAAAATGGAGTAAAAGTTATACACAAGTTTCTTGTTGACTTGGTAGCTAAGTGTATTGCTATATACATCCAAGACTGCATTCCCATAGAGACCGGCCCACATTGCACAAGCACTTACTGTAGACTTGCATTACTTTTGTAGTTTCCCTTTCTTTGGGCACAGAGTCCATTTCATAAATGTTTAATCTGGCTCGACAAACAAGAACTTCTCCAATATCTTCAATGACAGGAGTAAAGGTTACTTCCAAACTCTTGATTTCCAGGGACTTCCTGTCTACATCATCCAGAAACTCTTGATTCTTCATGAGATGATTTCCTTTCAGTAAATCCATCTCTAACCTGTCAAACGGGTACACGTCAGGCACCAAGCACTTGACAGTGATCGGCTTCCCAGCCTCCAGAGGGCCACTGAGATGAATCTCTGGATCCTTAGGAAAAGCTGCAAAGGCCAAACAAAGACATGAGTGGGCTCTATGCTCCCGTTTTATAAGGTCTCTTACTGTTTTAACACAATGCAAATCAAGTCAGACATTCTTGTGAGTACAGTCTTAATACAGCAGAATTGTTGAAATAGCCTTTCATGATTTGAGAGTTGGTTTAAGGAGCAATAATTAGAATCAACTATCTTTTAGAGGATTTTACAGTTCTGATTCTGTATATATTCAGAGTTACATGTTATTGAAGCAAGATAAGGAAGAAAAAAACCGATGTTTATTTAAACATACATGTGCCTGTCACTGTGCTATAGGTTGAATATAATGACTTCATTTTATCTTCATCATGACCCTAAGAGAAAGAGACTGCATTTCATGGATAAGAAGAAAATTTGGACTTAGTATATTTGCATAATTTGTCTGAGGTCACATGATTAGTAGATTAGAAAGCCAGGATTTAAACTCAGGATTTCTGTTATTCTGTATTGCTCCTGCAGATTTGCATGATATAATATCACCTTTTTTAAAAATTTTAGTCAGGGTAGATATATTTCCCCTTGACAGGTAATGACTGTAAGGCTCAGAATGTTACTGCAAAGAATAGTCATTGGGCAAGATAGGCTAACTAATGAAAAGACCAACTTCAAATAACTAGCTTCTGAAAATGGTGTCTCGGGTAGGAATTCAACCACCAGAAAGGTATGCCTGTGCAATCTTTATGTTCTAGAAGCCAGATCTGCCTCCAGGCCTGCCTAACTCAAACTCCCAAACAGTACTCCATGGAACCTTCTAGTACAAGGAAGACACTAGATTCCGGTTAGCCATTGCCACCTTTACATGGGTTACTTTTTCATTACATACTGTCATGAGAGCAACACATCAGTGGATTCAAGACTATGAAGTAAAAAGAATACAAAGGTCTCAACTCTATAAAATGTTACAATCGAATGTGGAATTGAGACAGAACTGTTAAACACAAGGAGAAACCGACACTCTTGGAGAAAAACCTGGGGCAAGAGAATTAAAGACAGAAGGGTCTTCATTTCTCTCTTTTAAGTTGTCAACTTTTTGGTACTTGAGGGCAAAAGACAAAGGAAATGGAAATGCTTCGTTATGTGAAGAAATATGGTATCTTTCATTTTTCCACCAACAAATTCTGTCCCTCATATTTTGTAAGAAATGTGCCTATCATCCACACAGTTTGATGCCAGATGATATAAGAACCTGCTATTTTCCCCCGTATTGACATGAGAGGACCTTTCAAGGGGAGCAGAGGGTTGCACAGATGTAAGCTGTGCACGTACAAGCAGCGTAATTGAAAACAGTCAGCCTCACACAATTTCCTGGGAAGTTTTAGCAACACAAGGAGTTTGTGAAAGAATCAATTGAGGTTACTGGGCAAAGCTGGGTTCCGGTAACAGTAGAAAGGAACCAAAATAATTATAGGCAAATGAGGTCTTCATGAAGAAATTACCATAAATGAGTTCAGTTCTTTTTAGAAACAGAGGCCATCAGTAACCAAAGGCCAGTGGTTTATGCCAGTTTAACTTTTTACTCCTCTTGCTAACTTCATTTGCTGATTTGAGAATGGAATGGGATGCATTTGGGTAGGCTGGCAAACTAGGGGGGTATTTATTCACATTCATGAGGCAAATTTAATTCATTATAGAAATATGTCTGGAGTTGAGCACAAGGGCTTCGTGGCACCAAAAATAAAAATAAAAAATCCTAAATGTATTGACATCAAAATCAAATGAGTGAAACATTTGCAGATTTTAAAATTATTTCTAAGAAGATAAATTTATGCTAAAGTCTATTACTAATTATAGATCTTCTACTTAATCTTTAGTTTTAAGCACCAAATTAAACAGCAATAAATGAACAGAAATTTATTCCCAAAGGATGTCATTTATAAATCATAAAGATGCATCGACAGGTACACATGTAAGGATATCATCCCACATTTTTTAAGAAAAAGTTTAAAAAGTTAAAAACCGTAGCGATTTTTCTTTCATAGCTAAGGAAACTGGAGCCCAAAGAGTTCAAGTCTTACATTATGCATGGCCACCATGATGTTGGCAGGGATGGAAACAGAGGCCAAGATTTGGAGTCCAATCTCAACTGTTTCTAACTTTCCTGATGCCACGTGTTCTAACTGGCCAAGGATCTGTACATGATCCTTTTCCTTTTAAAAATCTTTTTTAAAACTATCCTTTAAAAAACTGCTTTAAAGCAAAATCAACAGAAAACCAAAGATTCTTTGATGTACTCACAGTAGATTTCCACTTGGATTTCTTTCTCCAGCTTCCTAGATCCGCACATGGCTGTGCACAAGTAAGAATGTTCGTTCTCAAAATGCACAGGATCCATGGTCAGTATGGACTTGGTCCCCTCATTCCTCAACTTCCCGTTCAGCGGACTGTCTATCTGGGTTCTCCAGGAGAAAGAGGGGGACTCGCAGCCCGTGGTGCTGCAGGTCAGTGAGACAGAGTCACCAATCTGAGCGAGCAATCTGGACTCAGGGGTGGTCTCGATTTTAAAAGCTTGAGCTGCAAAAGCAAAAAAGAGAAAAGCAAACTTATCACTGCATTGTCTAGCATGCTACTCCCTCTTCTCTTTTCTAGTATAATGTCCAAAATATGACATTATAGTTCTCTTTCCTGAACTGCTTCAAACTAACTGAAGGAAACCAGAAAGCACTGAAGTCATTGCCAAAGAAGGTGTTGGAATTGTCTTACTCAAGAGAATTCTCAGTTTGACCTTGATACCCATTTATCAAAGTTGTTTTGTTATTTGCTAAGTTTGAACTTGGCATTACATAGAGGAAAACAAAGAGATAGATTTACTAGAGATAGAATCCAAATTACTCATTTGATTTTGGAAAGAAATTACTAAAAAACATCAATTTGCAGCTCTAATTATGACAGTCTAATCGTATACAGCAAAACCCAGTAGCACATTAAAAGTTAGGTTACATTAACTTTTCCCACTGTTTAAAATCCTAATGCCTTTCTTCACTACACAGCAAAACTGACTGAAGCTAAAACCAGGGCTAAAAAGGAATGCCAGCATTTGAAACAGATTGAGGAGAACTTACAGGCTACAAACACTGTCCAAAGTATGTTTGTGGCTCCAAAGATCACGACCATCTTCCCAGGCATTTTAAGTTGCTGCTGTGATGAGAAAATAATGGTCCCCAAAACTTTGCTTCTGTCCCGCCTGAAAGTGCCTGGGAAGAGTCTTCAGTTCCTAAAGCCAGTGAGGCTGAATGAGCAGTGAAATAGAAAGTCTGCTCTTTATAAAGGGGCTCCTTCAGAGGTAGAGGGAAATCCCTTCAAGGGGAAACCCGGAGCAGAGCCAGGGAAAAGTGTAACTGACACCCAGCCAAGTTCCAATATTAACCCCTTCTGTGGCTCTCACTGCTGAAACCAGTCTGTCCTGGGAAAATACGACACTTCCAAGACTACAAAATACAGGTTTTCCCTCACCATCTGTTTTAAAAGGCTGTCTTTACTAAAAGGATATACATGCTTATTGCAAGCACGTGTGCGCGTGCACACATACACACACACAGAGAGAGAGAGAGAGAGAGAGAGAGAGAAAGAGAGAGAGAGAGAGAGAGAGAGAGAGATTGAGATTGAATACTCTGGTTTTCAAACTGGATAAATAACCACTATGTCACGTGAACTACTATTCTCCATTAAGAAAAGAGGTTTAATTTTCTCTTAAAAGAAAAAGGAAAAGGTTCTTTCTTTTGATTAGTCACTGTTTACAAAAAGAGACAACATAACTTCTTAGTTTTACATTTTTTATTGATAAAAGCAGTTCTTTTGACATTCACTTTTTGAAATGATTTATTTGCAGTAGAAAGTAAAGGAAAGCAACTGAATATTACTGCCAAAACAAGGGAAATAATTCTTCTCTTTTACTTCAGAAAAGTCACCACCTCGGGTTGAATTGCTAGATAATGGGAAGTCTTTTACAGACTTAGATGCAAATATATGAAGCTCATCTGAAGTGGCAAATCTCTTGGGTTGTAGTATTTAACCACACACCCAGTTGTACCCTCAAAAATAATTTGTTTTTGTTATAGGGAAGGGGATAACAGCCAATTTTATGTTATTTTTCCCAGTGAAATGTCTTTTTAAAAAAAATCTCAACTGACTGGCTAGTCTAGCCTTGCATACACACAGCCGAGTCTTTGCAAAATGCTTGCCTATCAAAAAGAAACCGGAACAGCTACTTCCTTGAATTATATACACGTGGGTCTACCTCCCCCATCAGTTAATCAGTTCCCTTCATGACCGGGAGCAGTTCTTGTTCATCATTGTGTCTACTTTGACAATATCCAATGGGTGAGTACAAAAAAACACCCCGCAATAATGAAGATTATAAATGTGGGGGGAAGACTTCTGAAACACTAGCAATAATATACATACATAACACATGGGAAAAAATTTGGTCCTACAAGAAAATTTCAAAGTTCATAGACACACAGGGATGTGTACAATAAAAAAAAAAAACACCGTACTATGTGACAAAGGTCATGCCTGGAGTCTGGCGTCTACAGCCGTTCCACATGGCTAGAGAGGCTTCTGGAACTCCTCTTGGAGACTGACGTGGCTCCTGCTATGGGACACAGAGAGAAAGAGAGGTGGGAGAAGCTATTCTAGGACTATGGTGATATGTCAGTGTGACTTTACCTACCAGCTATCTAGGGATCGGAAACGTGGGTTCAGTGGAAATTAGCTGGCAGACAAATGACCCAGAGGCCCTTTACAATGTTCTTGTTGTAAGAAGAGGAGATCAGTACCATGAAAGACCACTGCCCAGCTTCATAATGGGTCAAAAAGTTATGATAGAGTTTTAATATGTTCCTCTGAGGCTCAAAGACAAATGTCCAAAGGCTGAAAAATGGAAACCTTCTCACCAAGTCAAGATGAATTAGTCTAGTTCTGAGCTTGGATATGATTCTAAGCTTGGAACATTGGAGGATTGTCTCATCTACTGACTCAACTCCTAAATGAACTTGACAAATATTTGATCAAGTCCCTCGTGATGTCTTTGAGTTGTATGCTATCTAAGGTTCTACCTACTCCTCTCAGGTAGAGTTGAGCACAGTCCCTTCTGTGGCCTCACAATGGTGAATGCATGCCCACCGAGCATCCATCATGTTGCGTTTACCTGTTCATACGTCTATCTTTCCTACTTTTCTAACTCATATGGCTTCACTCTGCTTCATCTCAACATAGCCCAGAATAAAGCATTTATTAAAATTTGGGGGATGCATGAGTGAATAGAGTTGAAGTGTAAGGTTAACAGGTTGAGGCTAACTTGTCTGAACAGAGTATGACTGAGTTTTGTCTTTGAACTTTTCAGTTTGACACTTTTATCAACAACATAGAGCACATGATTATCTAATTCATTCATAATGCAAGACTGGGAAAGAGAGTTAACCTTAATGATAACAGAATCAAGATAAAGAAGATCTCAGAGGATTTGATAATGGTATAGATGATGAGGTAAAACTTAATTGGGATGCATTAAAGCTCAGCACTTAAATGTAAAACATCCAATGCTTGAGCACAGTATGGGAGAGAGTTGACTTGGTCATAATTCCCAGGAAGAGCCTTTGGTGATTTTCATTAACAATAAAATGAACATGAGCCAAAATTTCTATGAGAAAACAAAATAGCTGTGAGAAGTCCAGCTCTCACTCAGAGTGAGTCAACCTTCTAATCAGCTGGGGTCATTATCTCTCAACACTACCCACCCACCACACAATATTGGGAGCAGGGGAACTTATTCGGTGTGTCATTTCTTAAGAAAGAGACTGGCAAAATAGAGGGTGTGCCAAAAAATGTGACAAAAATGGTAGACATCTCTAAAATCCCTCCCTAGTAGGACATATTGAAGGAATAGGGCATAATCTACCTGGAGAAAAGACACCTATAAAGCAAATTCCTTGTTGCTCTGTGCTAATTCAAAAGCTAAAAGTAGGACTCATGGGTGGGCAGTTACTAGAAGGGCCAGGAATGCGTGTGCCCTGTTCATCACTAGAGCTTAGCACTTAACATAGCAGCCAATAAATAGAAGGGCCTCCATAAATCACTATCAAGTAAATAAACACTAACACTAACTTGAAAACTTGATTCAGAACTCTATAGTCGTGAGTTCAAGTCCTGCTACTCCACCTAGTGTTTACAAAACCTTGCATAAGTGTGTATATAGCTTTTCTGAGTAGGTTTACAAATGCTCACAGAGGGATACTAGTACCATTGCAACCAATTCACATGATTTAATAACTATCAAATCAAAACTGATCATGTGAACTCTCCTTAAATAAATATAGTAAAGTGTTATCTAAATGGTATGTAGTAGGATACAAGCATACTAAGCTCGTTATAGAGAAGGACTTTCCAGTTATGAAATCTTTTCAACAATGCAACGAATCCCCATGAGAATTCACCAACTACTAGTCACTGAAGTATTCAAGCAAAGGTTGGATGACATCTCTCAACAACGTGGTAGGGGTCAAGTTTTGCCTTACATATGATCTAAACTGGATGGCTGTTAAGCTGCCCTCCAATGCTAAGATTCTATTATCATGGTTCATGCTCACCATTCTTTCTAGTCTAACTCCACCAATCCTTTCGCTGTCCACATCAAAATTATAAGCATCTTCTGATGTTGCTGTGATTGGACTCTGAGATGCTTCAAGGATGTTTCTTTTAGCCTGCTTAATAACTACTGAATTCATAGCGACTCCAACTCTTTCAGGATTTCCAAGTCGTCAATTTATTATGGACTTCCCTGAGATTTCTAACCTTTTTTTCTTGAGTGGCCTAATACATCTGAGGGAAGTGACATTCTTAACAGTAACTATGGCTCATTATGGCAACAATTCTTACCCAGGTGAGAGAAAGATTAATTTATTTTTTGCAGGGCACATAGGAATAAGGAAAGTTGAAAAACCACCTCAGTATATTCTGTGATGTCAACTTCTTCATCCTTTGAGACTCACTACTCTAGACAGAACCAAAGGATCTACGTCTACAACATCATTTGCCTTTATGTCACAGACATCTTTCATAGTGGTTTAATTAAATGGAGGTCCAAGGGTATGCAGTTCAAGACTGGGTCAACCACCTAAGAGAAACATGGAGGACAAATATTGATTCCAGATTCAGTGTGATCCCGCTTTACTTGTGACGGACCCTCATGTCCCCAAGAGAGTTGCTTTGTCACCAAGCATCAATCTGCATTTGAGGCAAGAGAGCAAGGAAAAAGTGAAGAACAAGAATTCAAAGCCAACGGAGTCCGTCCCCTTTTAAAGAACTTTCAGAGAAGTCCCAGACAGTGACTCCCACCCGTATCTCATTGAAGAGGTTGAAGATTGAATATTTTAACTGAACACACTGTGGCCCCCTAACAAATCAGGACTCTGTTGATAAGAAAGAGGGAAGAAAAAATGATGGGTAGGCAGGTAGTGAGCGGCCACTGTCACTATTTCCTAATTCAACTCAATTCAAAGAATGTTTCTTGAGAAACAACTAAACAGACACTGTTCCAGCGTGGGGAAATGTGGAAATGAAGGCATGGACACAGTTCTCACATTAGAATGAAAATCTGAGTGGTGTCAGTAAAGAACCTTCGCATTGTTCAGTTCGGAACAGTTGAACTTCCGTGACCCAGCAGTGACTCAGAAAAGAGGCTATTTACTTATCTGCAATCAGGAAATAAAATTTATTTTAGCAAGATGACTGATGTCAAGCAAGCTACAGGAAGGATCACTGGTAAGAATTTTGCTTGGCCTGAATTTATAACTTTCTGGAAGCTTGTGAGAAATGTTGGTTATCATTAAGAGTAAAAATTTCTATTAAAACATACACAGACTATAAATGGCTTATTAAATATTAATGTAACACTAAATTATTACATAAAATAAGAGGAAGAAGACTGTCAATATGAAAATTATTTCTCCTTTCTCTTTTGTAAATTTATTTAATGGAATTCAGAATTCAATCGTTTATGTTTTGACTGTTCCATGTGTTTTAAGTTTGGCATTTCAGGTGGACGGAGGTGCCTCTGTGTCTCCCAATTCTCCTGTTTGGAAAGATTGTTCATCTTCTTTGTGAATCCCCAGCTCTGACCTCTTATTTTTCTTTGTTTTGTTTTGTTTTTTAGAGTCAGGGCTTCACTATGTCACCCAGGCTGGAGTGCAGTGGCACAATTATAGCTCACCACAGCCTCGACCTCCTGGGTTCAGAT